CAGCATTAGCAGCATTAGCTCTGCTGCCAGGCTCTTCAGGGCAATGTGAAGTGTGACTGTAAACAGCACCTTCCCAGAGGATCACAACACCAAGTCACCAAGCCACCAGAGGGGGAAGTAATTGCCTCCATTATGCTCTAGGTGCTCTGGAAAAAAAGCAAAAGGGGGAAAAAAAGACAAAGAGCCCTGCGGTTGTGTTGCCGCAGATCAGAATCCAATTAAACACTGTTTAGTTCTACATAAGCCGCCAGTCATAGCCTGTTGACTCATGAAATTAATGCATTATTGTGGCACAAAAGAAACCAGTGCACTAGAATGCACAGCATTTCCTCAGGCTGCATTTCAGACAGATTGACAGCGTACATGGCAGATGTTAACACCAAAATGCACGCTCAATGACAAAACAACACCAGCACATCAATAATCCTAATCACGTTGCAGAATTGACTTTTTTTTTTTGTCTAGTCCTCTACAAAAGAAGGTCGATATGCTTACAGTTTTTTTTTTAGATGTTTGATGGGATCCATTCCACTATGTTGGGATGCATCCTGGTGCTTCTTCCACGCTGCGGCCTGTCAATGTAAATAATGACCACTGCAGTGCCCCTGTGCATCTTGAAGGCAATTTATGAATGCGTAAAAAGTATTAAAGGTTAAGGGTTGCAAACTTCTACCGTTGTTTCTAATGGACATGGGAGATGCCCTGCGGAGGTGACAAATGAAGGTCCTAAAGTTAAACGCACTGTGAAACAACAAAAAGGAAAGCTTTAAATGAGTAAATAGCATTCATGAACCTTGTCTACTTAACACTAGCAGATACATTTGCGATGCAAGGCCTATATTTTAGTATGCTACAAAACCACATGAAACCAAAATGAATACAAAGAGTACACTTTTATATTAAATTTGTACACTTTTTTTACACTAAATTTTAAAAGATTTTCTTTTTCTTTATCCTTTCCCCCTGTTTTTAAAAATCTTTTTATCATTAGCTATGTTTACATGCACCCAAGTGATTTGTTAGTATTTAGATTGATGGCTCAATTGGATTGGAAATTCTTCATTTAATGTAAACCTCAATCAAATCGACTGACATTACTACACTGACTTTCTTGATTCTAAACGTGACGACTGTGTATGTGCTGAGGTTTTGTTTGGAATGAGTGTGATGTACATGTAAATGGAAATATGAATCTAATGTAATGCAAAGTTTCAGTCTCAAGCTGTTCCAAACCTTTATGAATTTCTTTCTTCTGCCTAACACAAAATGTTGAAAAATGTTGGCAACAAATGAGTTGCTGGTCCCCACTGACTTCCATGGTATAGAAAAAAAACCCACTATGGAAGTCAGTGGGAACCAGAAACTGTTAAGCAGAAGAAATAAATTCAAACAGGTTTGGAACAACTTGAAGGCGAGTAAATGATGATAGAAGTTTAATTTTTTGGATGATCTATCCCTTTAACATAATTAAATAACTAATTACTAATTTAAAAAACAAACAAAGCTGAATGTCATTGAACCAATACCATGCAGGTCTCCTGTTGCTCATGCTTAGCAACTACCATTGAGATGAAAGGGAATGTTAACTACCATTGAGATAAATGGCAGATAGATAGCTCTCTCCAGACCTTCTTGATATAAACAGGCTTCTCCTCCCCAATACCTCTCTAAACAGAGTCCCAAGGGTCAGTGTTAGGATAGAGGCCTCTTTTTGCTGTTGCATTGGGCACTTTTGCAACTCAAGCTAAGCAGGTGCTCAGTTTCAGTAGCCTAATATGTGTTGAGTGTCTGAATGGCACACCAGAGCACAGGCAGCTGTGTCTGAACCACTTTGGATCAAATTAATTCAACCAGGTGTGCCCCCACACTGCTGGGGTGCAGGTGACACCTGCTACATTCCTTTAATTAGAGGTAAAACAGCTGTTTCTGGATAGTCCTATGGTATAAACCCCCTCTGCCCACACTCCCATCGGAATGTCTCCTTTGAATAAAGATGCAACGAGTATGAGTGACTTTTGACTCTCAGGGCCATCGTCAGAAGACACAATGGATGATGCATAAAGAAGAAAGATCTAAAATATTGTCTCAGACATTTCATGTTTGGAAATGCTTCAGAGAAGGACAATAATTCAGACTCTGAATAATGTGGAGGTGAGATTGAGAGTGATAGTTTGACAGTATGTATCTGTAGCAGTTGCTCATTGCATAGAGAAAGTCATGAATAGCCCACTGACTCAGACTGACGGGACTGTGGCCAGTCCTAATGGCAGAGCAGCAGGGGTATTTCATGCACACTCAGAGTAACAGCAGGGAAAATCCCATGAGATACTGGGGGAAAGAACGGTTTAAGAGAGCTTTGATGGTGCTTCACAGTGACAGAGTGCTCTCTGTATGGAGTCCAGTTCCCTCATGTTGGGTCAGCAAGCTTTATTATGTGACTTAAGGCCTGTTCTCACCAAGACAAATGCTTGGTGCAAAAATTCATCATTCATATCATCTTGGCTGCATCTGAAATCGCATACTTCCCTGCTACGTGAAAACAAATATGTGAACAGTAGTATGTCAGAATACACAGTATTCATAAAAGAGTAGGCAAAAAGGACCCGGATGATATTCAGTTTTTGGTGAGATTTTGAAGTGCACATCCAATGGACACTTTACTTTCCCATAAGGCCAATGGGAGAGGGTTTGTGAATGGCACTGAAGCAATGCAATTAACACTGGTAGGTCACATGACAATGACAACATGGTGAATCTTGATTACATTCATACTACACATATTCATACTATATTGAACATACTTTTTTAATGGTTATGATGTATGCAGCTATTTATTTGAATGAATAGTTGTTAATACTCTAATGTTCTAATTTCTTTTCCATCTCACTGTCAATAAAGCAGTTTTTGGTCACATGTCCAGAGCTGCTGCTGTTACATAAAACTATGACTTGGTGGCGCTCATGAACACTCCAAGCGACGTATTGTATGTATTGTATTCGTTTGTGTTTGATAAACACCACAGTGAACACAAAACTGCGAACGGGAGACAAACTGATTGAAAACACATTCAGCCTTTGACAGCAGGTGGCGCTTTAAAGCATAAATACCCCAGTATTTGAAAACATGTAAATACTGTTTGTCTTCCTTTCTTCTCCATTACAAGTGTCAGAAATGAAAGGTGCACTGGGGTATTTTCTGCTTTTTTGCAAGCGCCACCTACTGTCATGGAGTGGAATTTCATTTTCATTCAGCCCATCTGCCTTTACACTTAATCTTATGCAAAAATCTGTCTGAATTCTTGTCAGACATTTGCGTTGGTGTGAACAAAACTATGGACTGCAGAACTGAGTACATGTCATTACTGAGCCCTTACTTTCCCTTATTGTGTTTAGAAAAAGTTTTTAGCCATGAATTTTTTCTGTTTTGGCTGGTATCATTAGAAAAGTTGTGGGTACAAACCCAGTAAATGCACTCTCTCGAAATTAATTGTATTCAGTACCACAGCTACACGCACAGTTATTTCCCAGCAGTGAGAACAATGAGTGATTGCAATATAGCTTGTTTCTAATAAGTCAGTTCTTTCTCCTGTTTTCAATTTTGTTGGAAATGTAATGATCCACTTTCATTTTCATTGTGGTAAATGAACTGATTCTTTGCCATGGAATGCAAGATGATATCAATAATGAGAAACAAAAACAAAGCTGGTCTGATTTTTTTATTTTTTTTCAAAGGGTGGATTTAGGACAAAACTGTTAATGGAGTTTGGTGCAACGCTCAGCATGATACACACATGTGACCAGCAGAGGGCAGTAGTGTGGCAGCAATGTCACCAGACCCTGTGGCTCAGCACTGCATTAGCAAATGTGAGCAGAATGAAAAAGGATCTTCCATTTTACCCACATGTTCATGGCTGATGGCTCCTTATCATTTTCACATGTATGAAGTCTGTTTTCAACTATTTTGATTTTCTGTCACACTGAATCCAGTGACAGTGAACATCACCCTCTGATTTATAATAGCTCTAAGTGCAAATACAAAATTAGGTCCCACTTTATATTAAGGGGCCTTACTATGTACTTACATTTAAATTAATCATTTGGTACAATGCACTTATTGTGAACATACATGTTTTTACATAGTACTTATATTTTAAAAATACCTGCATGTAATTACATCTGTAATTAATTTCTGTAATTACATTTATAATTACACTGTTGACCCATCCCTTACACCTTAACCCACCCTTAATCCTACCCATACCACCAAACCTGTCCCTAACCTTACCCATATCCCACCTCAATAGCAGCAAAAGTGTAGTGCAGTAAAAACGACACATGTGGCTGCTAAAGGCTCGTTTGGACTAACAGCGATAACGATAACTAGCAAACAGCGCACAATAACATACCGTTTATTATAAGTCAAGTCAAGTCACCTTTATTTGTATAGCGCTCTATACAATACTAATTGTGTCAAAGCAGCTTTACAGTGTCAAAAAGGAAAATAAGCAAGCTTTGCAGTTATGTTGAGGATTCCGATTGCCTGTCAATGTTTTTATCATTCATCAACTGGAAAAAAATGATTCCGAAAGAGATTCTAACAATATTTAGAATTATTTTTAAAACTATATCGTCATCGTCCTTGGTGTGAAGTGGATGATGACGTATCTGCTGAGCATTATTCGTGCATCGATGCAGGAGTGATAATAGCGAGTGATAATAGCGTAGTGCGTCACGCCGTTGTTCCACTTCAGTTCAGCAGAATTCACAAATAACGCCAACATTCATTATACGTGCATATATCCCACAAGACTTTGTTATGTAACTCCGACTGAGCCAGCAGTTGCCTACATTCCCTCCCAGAGAACTCCCTTTCTAGTACACACCTGGCATAAGGACTGCAAAAGAGGGCTTGTGGCAGTTTGCGAACAAACAAAACCTTTTGGGTGTGTGGGCGTGTGACCTTGGGACACATGCCCATTTTCCAACTGGGTCAGCAGTTACCTTCACTTGCAACACAGAGACTGTGCTCTTCTCCAGCACAAGAATCTCATGCCCGGGGTGGCTGCCTTTCCCGTCTTCAGGCTGCACGTGGGAGGGGAAGCGTTTGTGCTTGTTTGCCGTGGGAGTGAGAGATTGATAATTCTTCTGGCACCTGTGACCTGCCTCGCTTTCTGCTGCTGCCAGCTGCCTGGTCACATCACGGCCACATGAGGAAGATGCCCTGTGACAGAACAGCCAAGTTTTACAGCAAACACTGTTCTAGGCCACTTATTCTACTCAGTGTTTCTGAAAACCTCTTCAGCCATGCGACATTATTGTGTACGTAGGTGCAATTCCGGCTCTCATGAGTTCTGTCGGATGGAGCCAAGTCTCGATTGGACCCCGAGCACAGTTGAATCTTATTAGTTGTGCTTGACTCATGTGTCAGTAGACTGCTGGAGTAATGGCGTTGAATCCCACCAGATCATTTAAACGCAGCTCCTAGTGTTATACGTCCAAGTACGCCTCTCCAGGTGTCATGTTCTCATGTTCACTGAAGTGTTTAAAATTATGTAGCTTTATTCAGGATGAAAACAAAGCGACTGGACAAGATACATTTGAAATGAGCAACAAAAATTGGTTGGCTGGCTGAATAATTTGACTGATTGCACGCAGTGGTTTAAATAGTTTGAATTAAACAGGCTTTGCATTGTGGAGAATTGTAGTGTTCAATTTTCACACAAACATTTAAGTTGTTTTCAGTTGATCATATTGTACAATTATTGTGGATTATTGTAGTACTTATCTGTACTAAATAAAACTAATTATTGGAGTATGTTTTATAATTTTTCTACTTCAAAATGTCATGTTTAATTCAATGTGTTACTTGCAGATTATTTGTAATTGTTTGTGAAATGTAGCGATTTCCGAGTGAAAATAGTTTCTACAATTATTTTCTTTTTTCAGTGTAGACATAAGTGATCCTAGATCCTGGTAAAGTGGATTGTGTAAAGGGTTACGACCATTTCACAACCAAAAACTATAATAAAGATAACGTCTCGGTTATGTATGTAACCCTCGTTCACTGAAGAAGGCAACGGAGACGTTACGTCGGTGACTGACGAATTGGGATCTCGCTTAGAGAGACCAATCCACTTAGAGTGTAGACTAAACGAGACAATGCACATTGGCATGCGATGATTGCATCCAGCTGCCGCTGATCACAGTGTGAGCATAAAAAGGCAGCCGGTGCAAAGCATACCAGGTTTTCGCTGAGGAGCCGAGCCGGTGACCCGGCTGCTCAGCGGTGGTACAGCAGCCATGGCGATGGGACGTGACGTCTCCGTTCCCTCCTTCAGGGAACGAGGGTTACATACGTAACTGAGATGTTCCCTTTCAGTCGTCACTCCAAGTCACATCGGTGACCGACGAATTGGGATCCCAACCAAAGCACCATGGATGCTACCCCTTCCAGTGTCCTGTGCGAGCTGCCTGCGCCCCTTTGTGGTGTAGGCCGGGCTCGCAACAGGAAGGCCAGCACCGTTATCGTAGCACTACCCACTCAGTGAGATTGGATAACACTGCGAAAACGTACCCATTCCACTTGGAACAGGAACGTTGCGGAAGCCCCTCCTTCAGGGAACGAGGGTTACATACGTAACCGAGACGTTCCCTTTCAGTCGGTCACTCCGAGTCTCGTCGGTGACCGACGAATTGGTATCCAGTGTCCTGTGCGAGCTGCCTGCGCCCCTTTGTGGTGTAGGCCGGGCTCGCAACAGGAAGGCCAGCACCGTTATCGTAGCACTACCCACTCAGTGAGATTGGATAACACTGCGAAAACGTACCCATTCCACTTGGAACAGGAACGTTGCGGAAGCCCCATCCTTCACGAAGGAGGTTTCTGAAGCACTTACACATATGACATCTTTTTAGGTGCATATGGAAGATTAGAGGTGATTGTAACCCTCATGGAAATGGCAGAAGTCGTCATGGGAAACACAGGCTTTGATGCTATACCGTGGACTTTACACATATGGGAACCACTTAGGCCTCTACATATGGAACCCAGTCCTCTACCGGTTCTCACGGATTCATCGAGTGAGGGCCTGGTGCTGGACGAGGGGACGGAGGAGCTCGACAGGGCCTACAGTACGGACACTCTGGAGCAGTTTAACAAGCCGACACTAACCGGGGCCTCTCACTGCCTCTACCCGTTTGAGGTGAGAACACAGGAGGATACCGGCTCCATACGAAGGCTATAGAATAGCGAATGTGTTGGGGGTCGCCCAGCCCGCAGCTCTACAAATATCTGTCAGCGAGGCGCCACGAGCAGGATGCAACACTCCTAGTAGAGTGAGCTTGCAACCTGAGCAGGCAGGGCACACCCTGTGCCTGATAAGCCAGGGTGATGGCATCCACAATCCAGTGGGCCATCCTCTGCTTAGAGACCAGAGCATGTGAGCAAAGCGGAGCAGTGTGACCTAGTGCTCTAACCGCCCAAGCAAGCGCTCCGTTGAATTTGTGGCAGCTAAGCCTAAACAAAAGAACGAATACTTAATTCGTGGCCATAATTTAGACTAAACGAAAATATTAATTCTTAATTCGTGGCCATAATGTAGTCCTAGCATAAAAGAGAACTAACCTATTCTAAATTCGTGGCTGTGATTTTGTCTGCATGTCATGATCGGGGCTCCGTACAACCGAATATAACCTTAGCCTACCTGTTTGTTTATTCATTTATTATGGTATGTAACTAGCTCACCTTTTGCTGCACCATGTTTGCATACATCTTCGTGCTTTCTGTAATCAATATGAATCTGTACTAACTTTAACAGTCTCCCCGCACTCCCTCTCAGTTTCTTCTCCCTGATCATTCTTAACTTTGATTTTTACTTTACATTTATGTATAACTCCGTTGAAACAATATCTGAACTCCATAACTGCTCTACTATTCTCGATCTCTACAGATTCTCGAACTCGAACAAGCAAATCACCAAACGGCATTCTGGGTTGAGCGAGCAGAGCGGAATCTTCAGAAAGGCGCTCTGCACTCTTAAGGAAATATTACCACTCTGCTCCCCGCTCCGCTCCACTCACATGCTCTGTTAGAGACGGCCTTCCCCTTCTGCCGGCCTCCGTGACAGACAAAGAGCTGGTCTGAGGTCCTAAAGCTTTGTGTCCGGTCTACGTAGCATCTCAAGGCTCGGACGGGACAGAGCAAAGCTAGGGCTGGGTCTGCCTCCTCCTGGGGCAGCGCTTGCAGGCTCACCACCTGATCCCTGAAGGGAGTAGTGGGAACCTTGGGCACATAGCTGGGCCGGACTTGCTGGATAGATAAGAGATGAGAATAATAAACATTTTACTACTATTAACGAGTAGTAAACAGTGAGCTCTTTTGATTGCAGTTCAGCTTTGATGATGATGCACCAACATCATTCATTGAGAGATATGTCTTGAGTTTGAAAGTCCTTTCTTCTTCATCGAAGTGGATGACTTGTACCCTTATGGTGAGCTAATTCTAGAAAATTAATCTTTAATCACTTCAAATAGATTTAGTCTACATGTTTCTAATGTTAGATGGAGGGATGTTTGTTATACATGTCTGAAATGATCTGTATCAGTGTAAATAAAAAAATTAATTGTACTGTATTCGTTGTTCTCACATTTACATTCAGGAGACTTATTTCCACACTTAGAGACATATTGACAATACAAGATAATGAATAAATCTATTTTTATGACTATTCATGTTAATGCTTCACCTTAAGGTGAAGTTCTGAAGTTCAGTAATAAAATTAAAACTTGAAAATGGGGTTAGTAGATTATCTAAATGTGTCTGAAGGTGCAATTCTTCAGTTATGATGATTTTAGTCATAATGGTTATTATAATAACTATTTTTGTATATTTAAATGTATGCTGTTAATTGTATGCTAATTAATGCATGCCTTAAATGTTAATAATTACAATTTGACTGTCACGAATTCAGTCCATGGACTTCCGTTTATTCACCACCAGAGGTCACCCTTTCCATTTCATTGACTCTCGCACAACACAAACTGTTGCATAGCACCCCGGACTACATATCCCATCATTCTTTGCACGATTTGCACGCTGCACTGATTGCACACAGCTGTTTCTAATCACCTCACTCACTATATAACACCTACTCTAACCACATTTCTCGGCTGAGTATTGTTTAGCCTGTACCCCTTTCCGAGTCTCCGTGTTTTCCTTGTTTTGCCTTGCCTGTTTTTGCGGTTTCTGATCTTTGCCTGTTTTCTTGGATTTCTCCCTCTTGTCTCGCCCTGTGATTCTGTCTGCTGATCGGTGACCTACGCTAGCCCTGTGACTATTCTTGTGTTTTGCCCGCCTTATACCTGTTTGCCAGTGTTTTGACCCTGCCTGTTTACCACGTCTCTTAAATAAAGCCTGCAGATGGATCCACATGTCTCACGTCTTGTCAGCCCCGTTACATTGACACTTCTTTAACAACTAATTACTTTAGAAAAAAAAGCACATTTTGAATCCCACCAGCATTATGCCTATATTTTTTATAACATTCCTGTACACTAGGCGTCTTGTTTGAAGCAGACAAACAGTTCTATCTCTATATCCACGAGGCTTACGAATACCATTGTGTTTGGAGGTTAGCCTCATTCTGAATGGGCATAAAGGAAAGTCAGAAATTAAGCTGAAGTACTATAAGTGAACTGGCTGAAGGATCACATTTCCCCATAAGCTCCTTATACTACCTCGCAGCTCAGCTATTTAATTGTTTTCTATTATCTGCTGAGGTACGTTCCCATGGGCACTGTATGCTGTCAGTCTATGGAATAGTTTAGCTGACTGATTCTTTGACACCAGTGGTGTCACGAATCCGGTCTATAAACTTCCATTCTCTCACCACCAGAGGTCACCCGCTCTCCACATGGACTCTCACACTACACAAACTGTTACACATCACCCTGGGCTACATTTCCCATGCTCCATTGCACTAATCACAAGCTCACCTGAAACCAATCACACACAGCTGATACCCATAACACACATTATATAAATCAGTCTCACACCACCATTCAATGCCGAGTATTAAGCGTTTATCACTTTGATAGCTGATAGCTACTTTACGGAGCCTGCCCTAGTATTCCTAGTCTAGTCTAGTCTAGTCTAGTCTAGTCTAGTCTAGTCTAGTCTAGCCTTGCCTTGCCTGTTTTCCTGGTTCCTGATTCTTGCCACGTATCTTGGATTAACCCTTTGCTTGCTGTTTCATACTGTGTTTGCTCCTCGCCTGGCCTTATGCTCACGTTTACAGATTACCCCTCTTGTCAAGCCCTCTGGATTACATTTGCTGTCGTCTGACTCAAGC